CTTTAAAAAGGTTTTTTTTTTTTTTTTTTTCAATTTGACCAGAGAGAAAGGGAGGGAAAGGGAAAGCAAGCCTCAGGTCCGGGACTTGAACTGCAGTCAGCCATGTGGGAGTCCAGCACCTTAACCAGCACACCACCTGCCAGCCCCAGTGTGTTTTTTGAAGTTACTGAGGCTTGATTTGAACTGTGGTTGGCCATGTGGGATCTGCCTCCTAGTGCACAGTGCTTAGTTGGTGTGCTATGGCGACAGCTCTCCACATTTTATAGATGAGATAACCAGAGCCTAGAGAAGTTTTACCAACCTGCCCAAGGTTAGGTTATCTATTTAGTAAATATTAGATTTAGTATTCAAACCTTGCAATCCTAAGTGTTACTGATTTCAGAGCCTATATTCTTACCCTTGTGCTATTATCGTTCCTCCCTTCTAATCTGAAAGTCTGTATGTGAACTAACCTAACTTTATACCAGATTAAATACTTGCTGTTGAGTGGGTACTGTCTGATCCAGGAGTCCTTGGTCAAAGAGAAAATAGTACAGAAGGGAAGGGTACTGTCCGATCCAGGAATCCTTGGTGGAAGAGAAAATAGTACAGAAGGGAATATCGTTTCTGACCTTAGTCCTCTTTAAAAAGCAGCAAAATTCTGAGCTCTTAAATGTGTAGTTTGTGAATTATCAATTATTCTTTCAGAAATTATTTTAGAAGTTTGTGAATGTGGGTTTTGCTAAGGATTGATAAATGATTCTATAGTCATTCCCAAGATCCCTTAAATGAATTTATATATCAGAAGTACTCTTCTTTTCCTCCAGTTACAAATTAAGTAGTCACAAACCTTAGGCTTTTAATCATAGCAAGTCATAGTCAACATGTACCAAAAAGATATCAGAGATAAACAGCACCTTTTTTTTTCTGTTATAATATTTTTTTAAGATTTTTGCCCTAGGGTGCATGGGCCTGCCGGAGAGAGAAAGAGAAATCACTCCTCAGGAGGGGTGGCAGGCCTTAGTCCATTCTCCATTTAAGAATCTCAGGCATGCTGGGCATCCACACACATGCACCCAGCATGTTTTTTGAGCCACGGTGCAGAGTAGGCCATGTTGGATCCAGCACCTTAATCACCATGCCACCTGCTGACCCCTAATAAAATTCCCCTACCCCCAAAGGGGATGGCCATTCTGCAGTCCCTATTCCTCCATTCTCCTCCCGGGATCTTGCCCATGCATGCACATGAGCCTGATGTGATTTTCAAGCTGAATCTGGGACTCGTGTCAGCCATATGGGAGTCCAGCGACATAACCGCTATGCCATCTGCTGGTCCATCTAAGAAAAAACATTTTTAAAGAGGTTTTTGCCTAAAGGCATGTGTGCTTTCTTGAGGGGGGAGAGAGAGAGAGTGAGAAATCACCCCCATGGCAATAGCCATGCCACAATCCCAATTCCTTCATTCTCCTCCTGGGATCTTGGGCATGTGCGCACCCACATGCCTGATGTGATTTTGAAGGCACTGGACCTAGGACCCGAACCGTGGTTGGCCATGTGGGAGCAGCAATGTAACTGCTATTCCGTCTGCTGGTCCCTGAAATTTTTCATATAAAGGCAATAAGGTACTTTCTACTCCTAGTGAGGATCTTAACATCCCTAAAATTGTGAAATTACTCTCCCAAGTATCAGTCTTGAAAAACAGTTTCTGCTCCTCTAGAATATTGCTATTGTATGATTCAGAACAAGAGTAATTTAAAATAAATGAAAGTTGGAGCCAGCCAGTGGTGTGGTAGTTGAGGGCACTCAACTCCCATGTGATCGACCTCGGTTCAAATCCTAGAGCTGGTGGCTTGCTTTCTCACTTTCCTCCTCTCTCTCTCTCTCTCTCTTCATTCTGTCCATCTCTGGTCAAATTTAAATAGATAAATGTGTGACTAGAAAAATAAATAAAATAAATGAAAGGTACTTGAGTACTTTTTTAGATTTTTGTCACAGAACGTGTGCAACCACTGGAAAGACAGGAAAAGTAAGAAACATCCCCCAGGGGAAATAGCTGCACCACAATCCCTTCTCCTGCATTCTCTCAGGATTTTGGTGATTTTCAAGCTGCCTAGTCCAGGGCTTGAACCATGGTCGTCTGTGTGGGGGTCCAGTGCCTTAACTACCACACCACCGGCTGGCTCCAATTGACTGCTAATTTTGCCCCTGATATTGATAATTATTGCCAGTTGAAAAAGTTTTGTTATTGTAAATTTCATTTAGGGAATCTGCAAAAGGATGATAATCTTAATGGCCTTCCAGTGAAAATTACAGATTTTGTCCCAAGGGAAGGGGGTAGGTACCTCAAGGGAAGAAAATATATATTTGTATTGTCAATTAGTGGATAGATTTATTTAGTCTGTTAGAGCATTCTAGTTCCCTTGGGGCTTTCTTGTTTCACCTACACTCTAGGTAGCAAGAGAATTGAAAACATCAGTGATTTAGAAGAAGAATTGAACTAGCTGTTGGGAATGTGAGTTTCAGTTCTAGCTTTGTCACTACTTTTATTGTGTGATTTTGAGTATATCCCTTAACCTATCTGTTCCACTTTGCTCTTACTTAGTAAAAGAGGATTACATTAAAAATCTCAAAGCCCTTTCTCTCTCTCTCTCTTTTTTTTTTTTTTTTGATGTTTTTGCCATAGGGACCTATGTGCTCGCTGGAGAGAAACAGAGAAAGACGGGGACCAGCAGTTAGTGTAATGGCTATGTCTCTGGACTCCCATGTAGTCTGCTGCGGTTCGAGTCCTGGACCTGGTGGTTTAAACTCACACCAGACGTGTGTGCGTGCGTGTCCCAGATCCTGAAAGGAGAAGGGATTGTGGCGTGGCTAGTGATTTCTCACTTTCTGCCTCCCTGTCTCTCTGGTGAGCGCACACGCACTATAGCAAAAACCTCTCCAAAAAAAAAAAAAAAAAAAGGAGAAAGACAGTGAGAGAGAAAGGGAGAAATCACCCCTAGGTGGGGATGGCCACACAGCAATCCTTTCTCCTCCATTTGCTTCTGGAACTTGGGGCACTTAGGCACACATGTTCAACCTGATTTTCAATTTGCCAGGTTCCAGATTCAAACAGTGTTGGTCATGTTGGAGACTAGCTCTGTAACTACTATACCACTTGCTAGTCCCCAGAGTCCCTTTCTGAATGATGTTTTTCTCTAATATAATTGATTGTTGATTGTTAACTTGAAAATGGGCAAGTAGTTTTTTTTGTTTTTGTTTTTGTTTTGTTTTGTTTTTTGCTATAAGGCGCATGCACTCTCCAGAAAGACAGAGACAGAAAGCGAGAAATCACTACCACCCCCTGGGGGAATGGCCATGCTGCAATCCCTTCTCCATTCTCCTCTCGGGGTCTTGGGCATGCACGGACACACACCTGGTATGAGTTTAAGCCACCAGGTCTGGAACTCGAACGGTGATCGACTGTGTGGGAGTCCAGTGACAAACCCATTAAGCCAACCACTGGTCCCAAGAACAAAAGTAACTTTATTTTTGGCCAAAGGAGCTAAGTTCTCAACTTTGTCTATTTAAAAATCAATTTTCCTTAGCAAGTGTGGAATTCAGCCAGACAGAGCATGTCCTGGTTAGAATTTTTTAAATTTCCCAAAGTCTATACACCCTTGTTCTTCTAGCTCTTTTGCATTCTTTTTTTCTGCAGAGAAAGTAGGGCTCTACATTACCATGTTTGGCTCTATATCATCTATTGACCCATTCACAAATAAGTTATTCGAACCATTATTTTTTCCTTTTACAGACGGTTTATTGTGGCTTTGATTTTTGCCTACAATAAAGTAACATTAACTGAATGCGTCTTGGTCTGTGGCCTGTTAATAAAGTAAAAGTTCCAGTCATTCAAGAAACAATTGTTGCTCTGTGGACACGAATTGGGAAATTAGTATAAAATAAAAATAATTTCACTTTTAACACTTCCCACCGATGCTTGCTCTTACCTGGGAAAACCATTCAGATAGAAGCTAGCTAAGATGAAGAAGCTAGATTATCCAGATTCTCTTTATCCTCTTCTATGTTTTTCCACTTTTATTTCTTTGTTATGAAATTTCTCAGACATAAGCAGAGAGACTAGTATAATGAAGCTCCACGTATCAATCACCTAGCTTCAACAGTATTGTTTTGCCAGTGTGGCCGCATCTTGACTTCCTCTTTCTTGTACCTCCTCCCTCTGGAATTTATTTATTTTATTTTTTTGAGAGATTTTTGCTATAGGATGAGCGTAGTTGCAGGACAGGAAGTAAGAAATGACCCCCCAAGGAGGGTTGCCATACTGCAGTCTCTTCTCTTCCATTTGCTTTCTTAGGATTTTGGGCATTCATACACACATTTCTGGGGTGACTTTCAAACTGCCAGGTCTGGGACTTGAACCACAGTTGGCCATGAGGGAGTCCAATGCTTTAACCGTTACACCACCTGTTCCCTCCCACCCCCGAGAATATTTTAAAGCAAGCCTCGTGTGATTTCATCCATAAATACTCTAGAATGTTTTTCTACAGGTAAGGAGTCTTTTGAGGGCAGGATGGAAGGAGAATTGTAACATAACCACAGTAGCAGTGTCATACCTACAAAAGTTAATGATAATTATCAAGGCTTCTAACTCAGAAAAATTTTGGTTTATTATCCAAATCAGTATCCAAACAACAACAAAAAAAATTTAAGAGATTTTTGCTATAGGGCACATGTGCTCACTGGAAGGACAGAGAGGGAGAGAGAGACAGAAAGTGAGAAATCCCCACTCCCCCAGGGGGGATGGTCACGCCGCAATCCCTTCTCCTCCATTGTCCTCTCAGGATCTTGGGCACACATGTGTATGCACCTAGTGTGAGTTTAAGCTGCCAGGTCTAGGAAACAAACCACAGTTGACTATGGGAATCCAGTGATGTAATTATCGCACCATCTGCTGGCCCTTCAGACAAGTTTTACACATTGTATTTGGTGTGTCTCTCTTTTTTTAAAGAATTATTTTATTTATGTATTTATTTATTGTTTGTTTGTTTTTTTAATTTGGCCAGAGAGGGACAGAGTGAGAGAGAGAGAGAGAGAGAAAGCGAGAAAGTAAGCCACCAGGTCCAGGACTCAAACCGCAGTCGGCCATGTGGTCATCCAATGCCCTTAACCACCACGCCACCTGCTGGTCCCTGGTGTCTCCCTTTTAAATCCTTACTTAAAATACTTATAGCATTGTTATTGTTACTGTTTTTAAAGAATTATTCTATTTAATTTGGTTTACTTATTTATTTTTTATTTGACCAGAGAGAGACAGAGCCCTTGAGAGAAAGTGAGACAGCAAGAAAGTAAGCTACCAGGTCCACACTTGAACCCCACGGTCAGCCATGTGGGCGTTCAGGGTCCTTAACCACCACACCACCTGCTGGCTTCATCAAAGTGTATCTAAGGGACCAGCAGTTAGTGTAATAGCTATGTCGCTGGACTCCCATGTAGTCGACCATGGTTTGCGTCCCGGACCCAGTGGCTTCAAATTCATGCCAGGTGCGTGTGCGTGCATTCCCAAGATCCCGAGAGAAAAATGGAGAAGGGATTGCGGCGTGGCCATCCCCCCTGGGAGGTGATTTCTCACTTTCTGTCTCTCTCTCTCTCTCTCTCTCTCTGTCTGGCGAGCGCATGTGCCCTAGTGCAAAAACTTCTCCCAAAAAAAAAAAGTGTATTTAAATAAATAAAATTTTTAAATTTATTTAATTGCTCGAGGGCATAGGCACTCATCAAACATATGGAGAAAAAAAACACCCCCTACTGGAGTATGGCTACACAGTATTCCCTTTTTCATTTCTTCATCCTGTTAGAATTTTGGGCATACATATATTGGTGCCCAGCAAGTTTTTCTTTCTTTTTTGTTTTTTGGGGTTTTTGTTGTTTTTGTTTTTGTTTTATGATAGGGCGCCAGTGAGAGAGAGAAGGAAAGCGAGAACTCACCCCCTGAAGGAGATGGCCATGCTGCATCCCAGCTTCTCTATTCTCTCCAGATTTCGGGCACACAAGCACATGTGCCCAGTATGATTTTCTTTCTTAGTTTATTTTTCTTTAACTTTATTTATTTACTTTTAAGTTGACTTGAACCTTGGTCGGGCCATGTGGGATTCTAGCACCTTTAACCACCATGCCACCTGCCAGCCCCCCAGTACGATTTCCACCAGATGCAGGTCTCAGACTGTAGTTGGCCATGTGGGACTCCAGTGCCATAACCACCACGCCATCCGCTGGCCCCACAGTATGCTTTTCTTTTTTCTTTTCTTCTTCTTTTTTTTTTTTTTTTTTTTTTGGAGAGGTTTTTGCAATAGTGCGCCTGTGCTCGCCAGAGAAACATAGAGACAGAAAGTGAGAAATCATCCCCCAGGGGGGATGGTCACGCCGCAGTCCCTTCTCCATTCTCTTCTCGGGATCTTAGGCACACACGCACAGACGCCCGGCATAAGTTTTAAGTCACCGGGTCCGGGATGCGAACCACCGTCGACTATGGGGGAGTCCGGCGATACCCATTACGCTAACTGCTGGTTCCCTTTTTTCTTTTTTTTTTTTTTTTAAAGAATTATTTTATTTAACTTTATTTATTTTAATTTGACCAGAGAGAGAAAGAGAAAGAGAGCACACGATTGAGAGAGAGCAAGACGCCAGGTCTGGGACTCGAACTGCAGTCACCCATGTGGGAGTCCAGGACCCTTAACCACCACGCCACCCTGCCAGCCCAGCCACAAAATGTTTTTCAAGCCTTAGGGACCAACGCTTGAACCTCTGTTAGCCATGTGGGATCTGGCTTTTTTAACCACTAGGCTATGGGTCCTGCTTAAGTCTTTCCTAAATTTAAATGGATAAAAGTCATAAATACTAATGAGATTTTGAACAGACCTACTTTATACATCTGTCCCAAATAAATATTTAACAAGTAAATTTGGGGGGGGGCAGGGGAAGAGGTTTTTGCTATAGGGTGCGTGCGCTCACCAGATAGAGACATAGAGACAGAAAGCAAGAAATCACCCCCCAGGGGGGATGGTCACGCCGCAATCCCTTCTCCTCCATTCTCCTCTCGGGGTCTTGGGCACACACGCACACGCGCCCGGCGTGAGTTTTAAGCCACCGGGTCTGGGATGCGAACCGCGCTCAACTACTTGGGAGTCCAGCAACATAGCCATTACACTAACTGCTGGTTCCCAACAAGTAAATTTTTAAAAAAATTCTTGCTGCGTTTATAGCAGATATCTAGATGAGGATGTAAGAGTACAAAATCAGTTTCTGCTTACACTGAATGATTTTCATTATTTCGACATTTTCTCATCCTTACCTTCTAGTTTTTATAGGCCAACTCCTTATCTTCCTTCTGAAATAGCTAATTAAGAAATAAATTATTGGGATTGGCAGGCGATGTGGTGGTTAAGGGCGCTGGACTCCCACTTGGCCAACTGTGGTTCAAGTCCCAGACCCGGCAGCTTGCTTTCTCACTTTCCCTTTCTCTCTCTCTGTCTCACTCTGTACCTCTCTGATCAAATTAAAATAAATAAATAAGAATAAATAAAATTTTGGGACCAGCAGTTGGCATAATGGCTATGTTACTGGACTCCCACATAGTCAACCGTGGTTTGAATCCCGGACCCGGTGGCTTAAACTCACGCTGGGCGCAGTGCGCCCAAGATCCTGAGAGGAGGAGAAGGGATTGCGTGACCATCCCCCCTGGGGGGTGATTTCTCACTTTCTGTCTCTCTGTCTTTCTGGCGAGTGCATGCACCCTATAGCAAAAACCTCTCCAAAAAAATAAATAAATAAAATTTTAAAAAAGAAATAAATGACTATAGGTATGCTGTAAACATTCTTAATTTTATCTCTGAAAGAAAAATTTATTAGTCAGTCCCTAGGATTGCTAATAAGTCTTGGTATTATCTCTTATGCCCTTTTGCTTTTGACTGTGGTATCAAATGAGACCCTCTGACTAATGGTGAAATATATTAAGAACTGTCATAGTTTCCATAGGAAATATGAACACTTAAGAAAAGGGACTAGAACAAGAATGGAAGAGGCATAAGGCCTCTGTGAGAATGGAGGAAGAAGAAGGGACATTTAAAATGGATATCCAAAAGGATCTGAATATCCCTGTGCACGAAGCAGGAGCTCATGCTCATGTTTATTTTGACTCAGACTATGATTTTTTTCCAGTGTGCTTACGGAAATTATATGAATGTGTGTACATACTTAATGTATTTCATTAATTTTCTTTAATAGCATCCGGAATCAGAAGACCTGTGGCATCTGAGGTAAGTTTCATGTTGATATAATGGTTACTAAAACTTTAATTCTAGGATAAAAGAAAACCTATTTATGACACCTTTATTTTATCTCAATTTGGGTCTTGAAAGTTAGACAGGATTCTTATATCTCTTTGGTATGCTAGAAATTATACAACTCTCTTGTAGTCTATTGTGGATATTTGGATATTAACAATATCTCAGGTTTTTTGATTTATTTATCCATTTATTTTAACTTGACCAGAGAGAGAGAGAGAGAGAAAGAGAGAAAGGGGGGAGGGATGAGAAAGCAAACCATCAGGTCCAGGACTTGAACAGTGGCCAGCCCTGTGGGAGTATCCAGCGCCTTAACCACCATGCCACCTACTGGTCCCCAGCAATATCTCAGTTTTATTGAGCTTTTTTTTTTTTTTTTTTTAAGAATTATTTTATTTAACTTTATTTATTTTTATTCATTGTTTTAATTTGATTAGAGAGGGACAGAGTGGGGAGGCATTGAGAAAGCAAACCACCAGGTCCAGGACTCAAACCACAGTCGGCCATGTGGAAGTCCAACACCCTTAACCACCGTACCGCCTGCCGGCTTATTGAGCATTTTTCAATTTACCAAATACAGTGTGTCCTAAATAGTAAATAAATAATTGTACCTGAGTGGCCTTCATAGATTTTATTATTTAATTCTGCAGACAACCCCAGGGAAGTAAGTACTGTTGTTTTATCCATGTATTACTAATGAAAAAAGTGAGAATCAGTGATTCTTTTTTTTTTTTTTTGGAGAGGTTTTTGCCATAGGGTGCATGCGCTCACCAGACAGCGAGAGACAGAGAGACAGAAAGCGTGAAATCACCCCCCAGGGAGGATGGCCACGCCGCAATCCCTTCTCCTCCATTCTCCTCTCGGGATCTTGGGCACACACACACGCCCGGCGTGAGTTTTAAGCCACTGGGTCCAGGACGCAAACCACGGTCGACTACGTGGGAGTCCAGCGACATAGCCATTATGCTAACCGCTGGTCCCGAGAATGAGTGATTCTAAAACTTGTCCACAGTCACAGAATTAAGTAAGATTAATAAAACGGGTCTACACCCAGGTAGTTTGACACTAAAACTCTACTGGTATTGTGTGGTTACTATCTCCTGGTTGCATATCTTCAGCAAATATGAAGAATTTTCAACCACTCAGAAGCTGTTGATTTGATAAGTTTCTCCCTTTTTTTGGGGGGGAGGGTTTGCTATAAGATGCGTGTACTTGCTAGAGAGAGAGAGAGAAAGACAGAAAGCAAGAAATCACCCCCCCCGGGGGAGATGGCCACACCTCAATCCCTTCTCCTTCATTCTCTTGGGACCCTGGGCACTGCCGCATGCGCACACATGCGCCCAGCATGAGTTTAAGCTACCAAGTCCGGTACTCGAACCATGGTCGGCTACATGGGAGTCCAGTGACATAGACATTACACCAACTGCTGATCCGGGCACATTTCTCTTTTCTGTGGACAATATCTTCTGTTTTCTTAACATTCTTCCTATAGACTGTTTTCAAACTCTCTTCTCACTTCTTGCCTCTCTTTGGTTTTGTGACAGTGGCCTTAGAATTCTGGCCCCTATGAACTGGGACTTCAGGTTGTTCTCTTAGACTAGTCTTCAAAGATCTGTCAGGTGATATGCTAAGGGTTTTCTGGTGCTGAGGGCCTTGAGAATCTTGAATATCAGGTTTTATGATGGTGACATCCTATTTCCACTAGTCTTTTTGCCTTCTGGCTTATTAATGACTATTGATGTCAGAAGGAATACCTTTATGTCTGTTGCAGTGGCATCTTTCCTCTTGGGAATGGCCTTCTATACTGTGCTCCACTGGTTTTATACTTTCCTTATTTAAGGGACTGTGAAGCGGGTGGAAAACAGTCATACCATGTTCTCAGTAATCTCATGAAAGCACTGAAGGCCCTGTCAGAAAAAACATGTTTTTTTAATGTATTTAACTTATTTATTTTTATTTATTTATTTAAATTTGACCAGAGAGTGATAGAGTGAGAGAGAGAGGGAGAAGAAGGTGAGAAAGCAAGCCACCACGTCTGGGACTTGAACCATGGCTGACCATGTAAGAGTCCAGTGCCCTTAACTACTACGCCACCTGCCAGCCCCGAGAAAAACCATCTTTTTTTTTTTCTTTTGAGAGAGACTTTTATGACAGGGTGCCAGAGAGATGCTAAGAAATCACCCCCTGGGGAGATAGCCACGCTACAATCCCTTTCTGTCTATTCTCTCAGGATTTAGGGCACGCATGCACATGTACCCAGCATGTTTCAGGTTGTCCGGTCCAGGACTCAAACTGTGGTCAGCCATGTGGGAGTCCAGCTCCTTAATCACTATGCTACCTGCTGGCCCCCAAAGAAACCATCTTATTGACTCAGTCTTAATACGTGGGCTGTAGAATTCCTCAGCTTTGCCAGGGGCAAGATCATGTCTGTTGGCAGATTCGTGTGAGCAGGCAGTAAAGTTGGGGGGAAAAGACGAGGCCTGTGAAGCATGACATGCTTTTGTGAACTGAGGTTTGTTTATCTTTCTCTGGGGCTGCTGGTCCCTACCTCCCCGATGACTACTTTCTTTAATGATACTTGTATTTATTTTCTGTCATCTTTTGAAGACCAAAAGTAAAATAGGTGTTCTTTGAGTTTTCTTCCGTGATTATTCAGGCAGTTAATTCATTGGGAAGCAATATTATAGCTGTGTGTTTGCATAGAGTGGGTCTCCTGAAGATCTATAAAATGTTCTTAATTTATGATAGAACGAGTTTGTGAGCGTTTGGCTTACTTTGTTCTGATGTACCCTTATGGTGGCCGTTTGGTCTATTACATGAGAGTCATATACTAATCTTAACCTTTCTCATTCTTTTAGGTGCCTTGTGCCTCTGGCGTCAAGAAAATAGGCCATCGAGGTGTGGATTCCTCAGGAGAGACGACATATAAAAAGGTGTGTGTGGGGGTGGAACCCTCTTGTCTTGCTCTATGAACCATCAGGGATGGCAGTGTCCCCTTGATGATATTTTCCACAATCTGCCCTAGTTTTTGATTTCCTCAGCCTTTTGCACAATAGCTATCATACGACTTGGACTTTAGAATTTATTTCACAAAGGATGAATTGTCTCTTGTTCCTATATGTGTGTTTAAATGAGTGTGTTCTTTTGGTTTTTTTTTTTCTTCCTTTCCATTTGTTTAATGAGTGTTCTTAATGTACAAATTTGGTGTTGGTTGATATTTCACTGAGCTGCAGAGAGAGGATTTCCCTGTTGGGCGTAAACATACAGCTAGGCCTTGTAAACCACTCTTACCTTCCACAGGGAACCGTGTCTCTTCAAGTCTTCCCATCTTTTCTCTGTTGTTAGATATACATTTACTAAAGGCCAAATCTTGGCCTGGTGAAATAGGCAATGGGTGGGTCCAGCAAATGGCGTAGTGGTTATGTTGTTGGACTCCCACATAGTTGACCATGATTTGAGTCCCAGTCCAGGCAGTTTAAAACTCACACCAGGCACGCATGTCTGTGCGTGCCCAAAATCCCGAGAGGAGAATGGAGGAGAAGGAATTACTGTGTGGCCATCCCCTTTGAGGGGTGATTTCTCACTTTCTGTCTCTCTGTCTCTCTGATAAATACTAAGCACTCATGCCCTATAGCAAAAATCTCTCAAAAAAAAAAAAATCCTCAGAAATAGGCAGTGGATTGAATGTGTGTATTTTGGATTTTCGGGGGGAGGGGGGCGTTTACTCTATGATGTGTGTGTTCAGTGGGAAAAGACAGAGAGAAAGGGAGGGTGAGAATGCACCCCACCCCACCTCCCTGCCAGGGAGATGATCATACCACAATCCTTTTTCTTTCTTCTCTCCAGATTTGGGGTACATACACTTGCACAGCATGTTTTTCAAGTCACTGGTCCATAACTCAAACTGAGTAGTTGACCTGCTGCCTTAATCACCATACCATGGACTGGCCTGTCTTCTTTTTACCTTCCTTTTTTCTCTCTCTC